CTGGAACAGAAGAAAATGTATCCAAAGGACTGTGTACTTTGCACTCAGTATTTTAAAGTGCTTGTCTCTGTTTATTTGTGCAATAAAGTTCTATCACTTTCCCTGCTGTTTGAGAAAAACATGGGTCTAAAGGTTGGATGGTTAATTTGTGGCTCACTCTACCCCCACTGTACTTTGCACTAAAGATCTTACCATTGCTTGCTTTAGTTTTGAGCAAACCTGCATAGACTGAAAATACAAGTCAATCCTCTTGCTGACTTCTAATTAATTTGCCACAGAGATGGGATTGATCCTTTTCAAGCAAAGTTGCAGAAGGATGGAAGCCACAAGTCATCTCCTGGGTTACCTCTGAGCTACCCCCCCCCCCAAAATGACCATTCTTTTTAAAAACAAACAAACTGGATTTAGGGTCATGGAAGTAACGATGAGGTATAGATTGGGTGACCTGAGAAGACAAAGCACTTGCAAATAAATAAATAACTCTTCAGTGATTTTTTTCCCCCTCAATTTGCTATTTGTTTGCAGTGGATTCTTGCAGTGTGTCCCCACCCTACCCCCTCCCTGTAGCCTGAATTTGTTTTTTCCACTGTAAGTTGCCAAGAAGTACCACTGTTGATAATTGTGGGATCTCTGTATTCTTTAAGGAAATGTCTATATCTGCTTACGTGTAGATTTTGAACTCTATATTTCCTTTAAAAGGTGTAATGGCTAGGCCACTATGGTTGCTGATGAACCAAAAAAATCTGGATTTAGAATTGTTCCTGTTCTGCTACATGGAGCCAAGACAATGGGCTTCCTGGCTTGGTTGCTGAATAACATTATTTTGCCCAAGTTGTTTTCTTTCATGTCCTTAAGAAATTTATCTTTTTGGGCAGCGCAATGCTGGGAGGAGGACAACGAGATAGTCTCGTTTAAAATAAGTGGATTCTACTCTTGAACATTCTACCTTCTAAGGCAGGGTTCCTTAACCTTAGCAACGTTAAGATGGGTGGACTTCAACTCCCAGAATTCCCCAGTCAGCATGGCTGGCTGGGGAATTCTGGGAGTTGAAGTCCACCCATCTTAAAGTTGCTGAGGTTGAGGAACCCTGCTTTAAGGGATCACATGAAGATATTCAGTATCTACCCTTGATTTAAACCTCTCTCTTTAAGAATTTTGCCACTGCAGCCCACAATATCCTTTTGCAGTATAAATCATCACAGCTACCCTCAACTTTAGTTAGTTTTGCCATTATGCCAGTCAATTATTTTATAGACATGCCAGAATGTAAACCAGTAATGGGCCTTTTGTCTTTGTTGGAGTCAAAGTTTTTTTCCCACTTTTCGTTCACAATAAAAGTAAGCATATGCTATATGTTTTAACAATTGTCATGTTCCTTCTAGATATTCTTGTGCTTTTTATAGCAACGTTCTTATTTTGAAACCTTCTAACAGACATAAGAATTTTTCAAATAAATAATTTGTTTGTATCTGTAACTTGATGCTACTCTATTTTAGTTTTTTACTGAATTATTTTGAATATATACAAAAAGAATGTGTTTTCCAAAATGCATCAAACAAACAAACTTTTTACTGGCACATGGGATTCCTCCTGTTCTTTCTTTTTCACCTTTCTTTTTTCACCTGCCTTCCTCTTTCATTAATCCTAAACAAGGAACCTTCCTGTTTTTTCAGATACTGAGCTACCAGGATACCCAATTATAGTTTGCAAATACCTGAGAAACGGATTCAAAGGGCAAAGAAAAATTGTTCCAAAACACTTCTAAGGATGGCAACTATATACCAGATATAAATTTGATTTTAAAAAATGAATATATTCTTTTATAAATAAACAGCAATAAACACATGAATTTGGCAAATGAGCCTCCGCTCTTGCTTGCTGTGTTGAAAGAACTCTTCCAACCACAGCTCATTCACTTCCAGGCTAATCGGTCTACAGTCACATAACAGGATTCAAAAGTCTGTCACTTGGGGGCTGATAGAAGTATGACCTGCAGCACAAAAATGTATCCTACAACTTCAAAGGCAGTTTCTACATTGAAGGAACGAAGAATCTAATTATAAACCTTCCCTTACTTGGTCAATGTTTGCATTTGGATGTGTCCAAGCCTCTGCTTACTCATTAACTTTACTAGTATCAAGATTGGAAAAAATTTGGAGCTTGGGACAGGATTAGAACTGAATGTCAAAAAAGAAACCAAAAGGAGCTGAAAACAAGATGGGAGTCAGAACAAGGGTTGGAACAAATTTCTTTTAGTTAAAGGCTTAAGAAAGAGAATTGTAGTGGTGTTCCAAGGAAGAAAGCGTTTCCTGCCTTTATCAGGAAACTATCCCTGTAGCTACTGACTCTCAGGAATAAAACATCATCAGGTTACGCATTCATGAAATCTGGAAGATAAGAAGTAAATAACTCAGTTATCCAGAGGGCAATTTACAAATGAATGTGAATTTACTTAGAGTGGTGGTAGAGAGGCAGGACAAGAAAAAAAGGAAAGCTATTGTTGATAATGACATAACTTAGTGCAACTTTCAACATGTGATTTGCACAACAAAGACATATGAAAAGGGAACCCTTTCTTACTGGCTGGTCCATAGTTAAGAAACTTCAAAAAGAATAATACAGGTTTTCTCAAATTTTGTGGTGCCATGACCCTCAAAAATGATAAATGAATTTGTATCAACTGCTCCCCCCCCCAAATAAAACTAAAGGTTTTATAGGACCTGGCAAGAAATAAATTCTTATTCGTTTAACTATTATATTTTAATTAATAATCTGTAGCCCTCCAGATGTTGCTGAATTGCAACTTCAAGCAGGCCAGCTAGCCTGGCCAAGCTAGAGGTTGCTGGGCATTGTAGTTCAGCACCATCGAAATGGCTCACCACATGGGGAGAGCTGCTTGGGATGCTTTGTCCCTTGTTCAATTCTTTTTTCTTTCTCTTGGGAGGATGGGACTTTTTCATAAAACTGCTTTGTTCTTCCAGAGCCCAAGTATGAAATGCATGATGGGGGGAAAGCCAAAGAGAGGTGCTAATTCTCTTCCTGGTTTCCTTCATGTAGGAAGAGGTGACTCTGAAGAAAGACATGCAACCTGAGTGACTTCTGTCTGCCATATGAGAGAACCCATGTTGCTTCTGCCTCTACCAGCTAACTAAGCTATTGCTGGCAGTTCTAGTTCCTACAGATAGAGCAGAATGTGCTGGATGGTGGCCCCTGCTACTGCCTTTTCTCTCTCCCTCTTCCATTCAGACTTTCCCCAGTTTAGTGGCTGGTACACAAGTGGAATTCCCAGCACTGATGTCAGGCAGCCTACCTTGGCCTCCACGTCCCTTCCTTACCTGCCCCATCTCATGACTTAGCTGGGCTGGGGAAAGGCAGGCCCAGGAGAAGATGGGGGTGGGTAGACTATCTTTGGCTATCCTACTGAAAGCCTCTAAGCTTTGGAGAGGGAAAGGCTGTAACAAGGGGTTGCAGGTAAGCAAGTGCATAAAAGTTATTGGAGGCGAAGTAATACAAGTAGATTGAGCATAATAGACAGATCAAATATAGCCAAACCCTGTCAGACTCCAGTCCTGCTTTGCCTTGACAAGGGCTAGTATGTGCAAGTCTACAAAAATTTGTGCCCCTCAAATTTATAACTGCTTGAGAATTTCTCAGTGAGTTGAAATGCTGAAAGTGTGAGATTTTCTTTTATAACTAGGCTTAACTTTTCCAAATTATATTAAGGAAAATATACTTCCATAAAGTATACTATGAATATGTAGTTAGTATATTAAAATATACTAAAATAGTATATTTTAATTAATTTGATTTTTAAAGCAGGCAAAGTATAGGATCGTATATAACATCCAAATCAAGGATCAAATAAATAAGATGGCAGATAATTAGCATAACCCAAATTGTTCTTTATTTTAAGAACAAAGAGTTTGCGAAAGATGCTAAGATACAGCAGAATGGAAATACTAGTGGCCAGGGTGATGCCCTGTTGAATGAAATTCCTCCGGAAGTTCGGAGGCTGGCTGTAGTATTTTCAGGGCCAAGGTCTACTTCTTCAGGGATGGCTTCTATTCTTTCATGGACTGGTGTTATTTCTTTCTTCCAAACTTTAACTTCAATTTGTCCTGGCTCAGTGACTATGTCCGGAGGGTTCTTAACATCACAGAGATAAGTGCCATTATAAGCAGGTTGCATGTTTGATATCTTGATGGATGCATCTTTCTCATCAAGGTTTCCATCCCAGCCACTTTTGCCACTGAATGGTGCATTGTTCCCATTGTATTCTTTCCCATCAGAGAAATAGAAAAACTGTAATAATAGACAAATAAACATTTGTTTTGCACCGAGATTTAGTTTCTCTTCTTTTTTAACACTGGTGACATTTCCTATATGGAATTTAACATACTAGGTAGCTTCTATGTGTGTGTTGGGTCACTAGTCCATGAATAATGGAAGTTTCAATATATTGGAAGTCACCATATTGAGGGACAAAGGTGATACCACAAAACTCAGTCTCTATGCATGATAATCATTGGATTCAGAAAAAATAAGATCCTTGGATTGTTCTGCCTGACTTCTCATCTTATGTATGTTTACTCTGAAATCAATCTCACATTCATTAGTGGAGCTTCTCAAGTTAGAAGCATGTATGACTAGGTTTGAAGCCTTTGGCCTCAGTCCATGCATTCTGAAGAGATATAACGCCACTTGAAATATTACTGAAGTCAAGATACACAACTTACCATTTTGGGTACCTATGACAGGGGAGAATCCATAATACATGAAGAAGACAGAAATGAGAGCTGTATATAACAGAAAAATGAAAGAAAAGTCTTCCTATTTTTAAAAATGACAATATGTTGGAATACATTTCTGTTGTTGTCTAGCAACTGTGTTTTCCATGGTCTGTGGAAATGTGATTGCATGTGAGGTTACATACAGTGGGGCAAAAAAGTATTTAGTCAGCCACCAATTGTGCAAGTAGAAAACGTTTGACCTCTGTCATTGCCAACAAAGGATATATAACAAAGTATTGAGATGAACTTTGGCCATTCATTCTTTCCTTTACACGGATCAGTCATCCCCATTCATTCTTTCCTTTACACGGATCAGTCATCCCCATTCATTCTTTCCTTTACACGGATCAGTCATCCCCATTCATTCTTTCCTTTACACGGATCAGTCATCCCCATTCATTCTTTCCTTTACACGGATCAGTCATCCCCATTCATTCTTTCCTTTACACGGATCAGTCATCCCCATTCATTCTTTCCTTTACACGGATCAGTCATCCCCATTCATTCTTTCCTTTACACGGATCAGTCATCCCCATTCATTCTTTCCTTTACACGGATCAGTCATCCCCATTCATTCTTTCCTTTACACGGATCAGTCATCCCCATTCATTCTTTCCTTTACACGGATCAGTCATCCCCATTCATTCTTTCCTTTACACGGATCAGTCATCCCCATTCATTCTTTCCTTTACACGGATCAGTCATCCCCATTCATTCTTTCCTTTACACGGATCAGTCATCCAACTTGCACAATTGGTGGCTGACTAAATACTTTTTTGCCCCACTGTATGCACATGCTCATATATGCATAAGGCAGCTGGGCCTTCATATAGGATTTAATAATGATACCCAGTGCCTGAAAAGATTACCAACCCTTGGTCTAGCCACTTAACCCCTAACGTTTCTCTATTATCATGTTTCCTATCACAACAAACACCATTCCCTTCTCTCTTCTTTACTTCTAGGCTAGGATATGCATGAGTTACATGTTATTCATAGCATGATAACCAGTCTGTTTTCCTCTCTATAAATGTTTGTGAGAGTGTTAAGCCAGCAAATTCTATTCCTCATTAGAATTTATAAGCTAACTTCCAAGGAAGTCATCTGAACATTTTGTTTTGTATCTGTGTTAAGAAAATACTCTCTCTTTAAATAACAAATTATTCTTGAAGAAATAATTGGGCAAATTTGCCAAGATGTGAGACTGCCAATATTCAAAGATTTCTTAACATAATTTGTGTCTCAGAACATGGGCAAAGTAAACATATGTCTGGAGAGCAGGCATGATAAAAGCAGAGGTATGTTATAACAAGATATTCTTATACATGACCAAAGTAGTACTGTACAGTCAATATCCATCATCCACTCTTGCCACAAATTCTAATTTCATATCTAGCCTTAGATATTCATTCTTACTGGCTTAGGAAGAAGAACTGATCCCTCTGGTAGAAAGCTCCAAGTAACAGATGTTGCAGGACTGATCTCTTCTGATGATGTGAAGATACATGGAAGCTTTGCATCTGTCCCAGCCTCTACAAACAGTTCAGATGGTGTGGACATTTCCACAGCTGAAACGTCAACTATCAGAGAATAAGATGCCATCCAGGGCCCACCAGAAATGATGTAAATACATAATTAAAAATACAGAGATAGGTAATTAGAAAACAGAGGCAGGCAAAGCTATGCAAAAAGCAACCTCTTTCTAAAAATATCATAAATTTAGATGGCTGAGGAAGGTCCCATGCAGGAGACTGCAGGAGCTGAGATACCAATATTGATTAGTAAGGAAGACAAAAATGGTGAATGGTGATGGCAAAATGGCTGTGTTGTTTAATTTATTAAATTTATACCCTGCCTTTCTTTCCAGAGCTCATGGTAGCATATATGGCACACCTACTCCAGTTTTTCCTATAACAACCCTGTTGGGCAGGTTGGGCTGAGAGAGCGATTGACCCAAAATGATTTAGTGAGCTTCCATGCCTGCAGGACTTAAACCTGCAATTTCCAGGTCCTGGTTCAATACTTTAAACTCTAAACCTTGCTCCCTGTAAGTAAAAATCTAGGATGAAATGGGTTTTGTCTTAACCCTGCACTCCAGCTCCCTGCACATGTTATAGACTTTTTTGTCTAGAATCTAATCATCTACTATTTGCCTTGATCATGCTGGCTTTGGGATTATGAGAGTTGGTGTAGCATACCTGGATGGCAGCAGGTGGGGTAAGGTTATCTTAATGCAATGGTATCCTTATTTGCATGTTTCTAATCTGTTACTCCAGTATTCAAGTATATATAGGGTGGTTGATACCTGCAAAACAGTACTGTTTTACAATTGCTTATGAAGCCAATGAGCACTCCTCAAAGGTTTCAATTTGATAACTCATTTGTAGAGAAAGCGCACATTTTGGCCTTACTTTCTGCCGTATAGTAATATTTATATCAACATATACAACCAGCTCACATCACATTGAAATCTAGCAGTGGCTCCTTGAAGACTGATGTTTTAAGCCACTCTCAACACAATTCAGCTTTACCTACCCAAATCTTTTTATCCATTAGCTAAAATGGGATGTTAATTTCTTGAAATCATATCTCTGGACAAATCACTAGTGCAATATTGTTCTCTTCATATCCTGTTTGTAAGGGCTACATATTGGAGGGCTTGGATAAGGACTTGGCTAGATATTGGAAAGAAAAATTTGGACTACATGAAGCAAAGTGACATGCACAATATCACAAACTAAGCAAACTACTCAGAAGATTTGGTATTAGATGAAATAATGAAGGCTATATTGGCCCAATATATATCTTCTCTTAATAAGCATAAAAGCCATTTTCGCTTGATTTAGGGGAGAGGGCATAGAATAAAAAAAACCATAGAACAACATCAGCTTTGTTGGTTCTCAGTTGCTTCTGTTCTGCTGCTGATGGTTGTTATTTATTTTATCTCTATCTCTTTATCTATATATGTCATTAGATTTTTATCCTGCCTTTTTTACATGTAACTCAAATGATGAACATACCTAATTCTCCTGCCTCCTATTTTCCCCACATCAACAACCCTGTGAGGTGGGTTGGGCTGAGAGAGAGTGATTGGCCGAAAGTCACCTAGCTGGCTTTCATGCCTCTATAGCAACCAGCTTGCAAATTTATTCTGTTTCTGACTATTAACTTGGTGTAATTTGTTTTTATTCAGTTGTAGTTGAAAATCTATACCGAGAAGTAGTATAAAATCCTCATCAACAAATACACAGTTTAGATATTACCAGAATGCTTTAGGATTTTTCCTAAAATATTTCTAATCTTGAACATTCCTCTTCCTTAAAATATAAGCACAAGTATAGCAAAGGGTGCCTGTCCTGTACCCAGTTATGGGGAGAAAACATTTTAAATGCTGGAGTTTATTCACTGTCCAGCTGAAGAAGTACTTAAAAAAATTGGTTAAAGCAGTTTGAGCTGAATGATTCTCAACTCGAGACTTTCATCTTCTAGATCAGTGTTTCTCAACCTTGGCAACTTTAAGATGTGTGGACTTCAACTCCCAGGATTCCCCAGCCAGCATGGG